TGTGTGAGAGTGCTATGATGTGTGTGAGAGTGCTGCGATGTGTGAGATTGCTGTGTATGATGTGTGTGAGAGTGCTGTGTGTGAGAGTGCTATGATGTGTGTGAGAGTGCTGCGTGTGATGTGTGTGAGAGTGCTATGATGTGTGAGAGTGCTGCGCTGTGTGTGAGAGTGCTGTGTGTGAGTGTTGTGTGTTGTGAGTGCTGGGTGTGATAGTGCTGTGTGTGAGAGTGCTGCGTGTGATGTGTGTGAGTGCTGAGTGTGAAAGTGCTGTGTGTGAGAGTGCTATGATGTGTGTGAAAGTGCTGTGTGTGAGAGTGCTATGATGTGTGTGAGAGTGCTGTGTGTGAAAGTGCTATGATGTGTGTGAAAGTGCTATGATGTGTGTGAGAGTGCTATGATGTGTGTGAGAGTGCTGCGTGTGATGTGTGTGAGAGTGCTGAGTGTGAGAGTGCTATGATGTGTGTGAGAGTGCTGTCTATGAGAGTGCTGAGTGTGAGAGTGCTGGGTGTGAGAGTGCTATGATGTGTGTGAAAGTGCTATGATGTGTGTGAGAGTGCTATGATGTGTGTGAGAGTGCTGTGTGTGAGAGTGCTGGGTGTGATGTGTGTGAGTGCTGTGTGAGTGCTGAGAATGCTGAGTGTGATAGTGCTGTGTATAAATGTTGTGTGTTGGGGGGTAAATAAACAAATAAAAAATTAAGTGGGGGTAAATATATAAAAAAAATAAATAAAAACTAAGCAAAAAAAAAAACTAAACCCCCCCCCTCCCTTCTTACCTTTAGCCTGGGAGGGGGGGACAGGCACGTGGTAGCTGGGAGGGGGGGCACCGGCACTCACACACCATCCCTGGTGGTCCAGTGGTGAGTGAACTCTCTCGCGAGATCGGGGCGTTGCCATGGCAACGCTCCGGATCTCGCGAGAGAAACCCAGCGGAGCTGCAAGACAGAGCTCCGCCGGGTCCTCTCCCTCCCTCCCCAGCCGCAGGTCTATTTAAATGGGCCGGTGAGGGAGATCTTTGATCTCCCCATCGGCCCTCCATGGAAGACAGCGGGGCCGGCGCTCGGAGAGTGCCGGCCCTGCATAGACCGGCAGGGGAGATCCTGGGACCTCCCCTGCCGGCCTCGGCCCCACGGCCACCGCGGCCCACCGGGCATTTGCCCGGTGTGCCCGATGGCCAGTCCGGGCCTGCACTGCACCCTTCACACACACACACTGCGCCCCTCACACATACAATACGTCCAAATATAAATATATATATATATATACACACTACAGCACCCCTCACACGGCACCACTACACACATTACGCTCCAGATACATGCTAGATCCCTTAACTATGTGCACTCTTAATCCACTACACACAAACACATACAATCTCCTATACACACTCTGAGTCCTTTACACACTAGATCTCCTACACACACACTGCCCCTAGACACACATATTACACCACAAACACAAATTAAATTGACCTATTTACACAAAACCACACCACACTCTACACACACGCAATCCCACAAGCAGGCTCCAAACACATGCACCATATGCTTTCCTGGCCCTTTTGTCCACTGGTATCCCACTTGTGGAGACAATTTAAAAGCAAACACAGCGCAAGCATGTTATTAAATTTGCTTGCGCTGCCTTTTTCTAATGCTAGAGCTCTTTAGCAGGGCTCTGTGCATTGAACCAACATGCTCACTTCGGGGGCCACTCTGATTGAAAAAAATGCCCGGGCCTAATTTTTTTCCCAGTCCGGCCCTGAGTGGCAGTGTGTCTGGCTGCTACTAATAATGGAAAAAGCAAACTCTTTTGCTGCATATATACCTCAAAAAAACTTAATTAATTGTTTTTAACTGCAAAAAAATAAAACAACTAAAGTCATTTAGAGTATTATCTCTTGCACCTTATTTCATATTAGTTATACCCATCTCTATTATTCTGAAATGGTTTAAAAGTTGTTGTTGTTTTTTTAGGGTGAACCCAGTCTTGAGATGATTAACATTTACAATTCTGTTTCACTCCAGGTTTAATGAGAAATGTGGCCATCTGCATCACCTAACATACTTTCTAACACAGATTAAACAGAGCACCACCTATTATTTGTTTATTGTTTGTGTTATAGGGACATAACAAAATCAAGTTCATTTAATCTCAAACCAACGTATTTATTTGTCTTTCAGCCTGTAACAAAGCACTCCCAACGATTTGCAGAATGTCACTGTTTTGTTTTGCTTTCCTTTGATTTTCAGTTCTGTCAAGCTGTTTTTTATTTTTTTGACGAATGTGTCCTTTTATCTTGTTCTATCATTTTCGCAAACTCTGCTTTTGATGGCACAACCACAAATGTTCCTGCCTCAAAGGCCAAGATAAAGTTTTTACATCGTCCAACACATATTTGTCACGATCCTCTACCGAATGTTACGTTTTAGTACCGTTTGTTGAAATAATATGATTCTGCACATTAAGCATTGTCATATTTATGCTTACAATGTTCTAGTCCAGTATTTCCCAACTTCTTGTCCACGACTGCAGCACCTGTGATCTAAAATGTTTTATCTTTAACCCCTTAAGGACCAAACTTCTGGAATAAAAGGGAATCATGACATGTCACACATGTCATGTGTCCTTAAGGGGTTAAAGGAACACTATAGGGTCAGTGTTCCTGACCCTATAGTGCAAAACCAACCATTAAGGTGGTTTGACCCTCCTTACCCCTCTTAAAAGCATGAAAAACTCACCTTATTTCCAGCGATGTGCGGGTCTGCCCGCACTGGCTTTGCCCCCGCCCCCTTGGTGACCACATCAGAAATGCCGATTTTCAGCCAATCCAATGCTTTCCTATTGGCTAAAATTAGCAAGGGGGCTGGACCAAACACTGTTTTGGCCAATCAGCACCTCCTCATAGAGATGCATTGGATCAATGCATCTCTGAGAAGAATTCAGTGTCCCCATGCAGAGCGTGGGGACGCTGAATGGCAGAGCTGTCCACTGTGCAGCACTGAGCTAGGAAGCACCTCCAGTGGCATCTGAGTGGCCACTTGGAGGTGTCCCTAGGGGCAATTTAAACAGAAAAGGCATTGTTTGCATGAAAGTGCCTGAAGGCAATGATTAAACTCGCTAGAACAACTACATTAAGCTGTAGTTGTTCTGGTGACTATAGTGTCCCTTTAATCTAATTCCCAACCACTGCTGCCGACTACTGAGCATAGAGCAGGTAAAGCGAGACAGTCGCCAACTAAGAGAGAGAGGAATCCCTAACCAGCACAGCCACCTCTATTACATCATTGGTGTAGTAAAATTTGTTCTTTCGGTGGTACTCTGCTACGCAGTCACCTGACTTTGTTTATGCCTGAGCAAATGGGTGGCTTCCCTTTCCCTTTCTCACCTTTGGCCCTATCCCATCAAATTTCCTCCACCCCATTGCCTACCTTGTTGGCTCAAGAGATGTGATTCCTTGTGGGAGGTAAATTTTAGTTACCCAATAATATGAAAAATTTATACGACTGTGGCAGCAATAGCTAAAAAACAGATATGTACCTATTCAACATGAGTACTTTAGTTTATAATAGCTGGGATGGTAAAGATTAGCCACAACTATTCCAATCTACAATTCCCATAGTGTTCAGCCACTAATGGCTGGCTGTTTATTATGCGAGCTGTAGTCAACCACAAAAGGTTAGTGTGCAATGTAGTGGCCACAAGCCCAGTCTATAACTAGCAAGTTCAGCTAGTCGTATGGCTGGCTGAATATTATTTTAGATGCACTCAACAAATATTGGTGCTTTTACTGTAGACTAAGTGTAGTGTCCCCACCTGTCATACAGCCCCATCAACAGTAAGCTACTATTCCTATAATGAATCATGAATCGTGGCATTTGCACTGAACAAGTTAATGTTGTATAGTATATTAGAGCTCTGTGAGGCACTGCAAACCTTCTGAGGTATTGCAAAAAAGAGGGGAGTTAGAAGGTAATAAAAGGGGATATAGGAAAATTGTTAGCTATGCAGCACTGGTGGCTAACCTTTGGCAATCCAGATGCTGTTATTACATTTCTCATGATGATGGCGAAGATTCATGATTCCACAGCAGCTGTAGTACCAATCCATAATGATATCCTAGCTGGCGTTTGGCATGCCAATTGTTGTGTACTCACATTTCCTGCTTAAAATGCTAGATTGGCTGAGAGTCATGGGAAATAAAGTCTCAACAGTTGGCGTATTAACTAACCTTATGTTATTGAATATAGGCATATTCCTTAATTGGTCAACATTTAAAGGTTTTAATTTAGTCATTAAGCTGTTAAATGTGAATTATGAATGTGGTTCTCTGGTGTAAAAAAGTTAGAAACCACTGTTCTAGATTATAAGTTTAACCACTGCCCAAATATATATATATAATTTGTAATCATTATTTATCAGATCTATCCCCAATGAATACATGCATGCATTTAAGTATCCGTTTTTTTCATTGAGGGTATATCTAGACACAGCTAGCAATAGTTGCAGATATCTTGTCTGCAGTCTTTGCAAGCCCTCCCCTTCTCTTCTCCAGCCCAGACTTTCTGTGGTTGTCCAATCACAGACTTCCCAATGCAGATCAATGAGACGTCTTTGCAAGGCAGGTGTTTTGAGCAGCAAGAGGTGTTCTTTTGTGTTTAGCTCCACTGAGTAACAGGACCAGTTGTCTAATGGATAATGAGGGAGTCATGGTTCATTTCTAAAAGTGCCAATTTTTATTGAAATCGGCAATTTTTTGTAAAATGAAAAAAGAGGACATATACAACACTTCAGCAAGCTAAAGCGTTTTAGGTGTTTGGAGTGATAAAAAAGTTCTTAATCCTCTAGTAGCTATTAATGTCATATGGTTCTCAAACTTGTAAAAAATTGAGATTTGGAAGCAGTCTAATACAATTATTTGGAAGCAGTCTATTGTAATAATTTCCAGAGTTTACGTATGTGCTCGTATGTGTGTGTGTGTGTGTATGTGTGTGTGTGTATATATATATATATATATATATATATATATATATATATATATATATATATATATATATATATATATATATATATATATATATAAAACACAAGATCCAGCGCACTCACCTATCCACTAAACAGCAACTTCAATGTTGAAAGATTTTATTAGTTTTTTTAAAAACACCTAATCTAGGCAAAAATAATGGGGGTTTAGTTACATTATATGATCAAACATTGCATAAGCCTGCCACAACGTCAATGTACCCCATCTTTGGCAGGTCCTACACTAACAACCTAATGTCTGCTCTTATGAGATTAACCACTTACTTGAGGAAAAAAATTCCATCTGGGTCTCTCTGCAGTACAAGGCTAAATAGGGCCCTGGGATGAGGCACCTGTGACAGGGAGGGGTGCAAAACCAAGGAGTTGGCTAGACTCCCAAATATATATAAATGAAACAAGGGGGGGGGGGGTTGGCTGCACTCACCTGAACATGCATAAATGGGGGTGCTATATATAAATAAATCTATAATGTGTGTATATATATATATGTAAGAAGAGAAATATTAAGTAGTTTTCTAAGTTATATCCACCCTTCCCTCTACCGTAGCATATATTATGTGTTATCTCCTATTAACATGTTATTAGAATACTCACTATATATCAAAGGGACACTATAGTCACCAGAACTACAGCTTAATGTAGCTGTTCTGGTGAGAATAGCATGTTCTCACAGGCATTTTAATGTAAGCACTGCCTTTTCAGAGAATTTTAATTTTCGGACTTTGTACTTTGCCTGCCCTCAGACGTCAAAGTATGTTAATTAGATAACTCTTGCAGTACTGCATGCATGATGCATGCTCATGTGACACACAGCTGGGAAAATTCCATGCATACATGTACACGTATGTAATTTCTACTTTTGATGCCCATCATGGGATAGAATGATACGGCAAAATGAAAATGCAGTAGAGGCAAGTCAGTTTTTACTATAAGTTTGCTGCTCCATTCACTCCAGTAAACTCTGAAATAGTGTTTACTGGGATGAAGGAACAAAGAAGTGTGACCTCAGGAAGAGAGTTCATTTTTAGCATGAATCTGTTTACACTCATTTTATACCCTTATGACACTCCCTAAAAGGGGGATTTCTAGACCATACACTCTAGTTAAGATTCCCAAGCACTGATGTTTACAATAAAAACAATAAAAGGCTGCGCACAAAAGATAAATAAAGTCCAATTAGAGTAAAATAAAATAAAATAAGTCCAAATGGTTTTTTTCTTACTGATGTCCTTGTTTGGTGAGGTCTTCTATTTTTGTGGTGGTTTCACTTAATAAAAGATAAAAAAGAGAAGAAAAAGGGACATCCAATGGTGTAGTATGTAGAATTCAAGTCTTAGAGATAAAAAATTATAATGGTATAAAACTCACATTTACCAGAGCTATTGTCCAGCTCTAGGAGTTAAGCGCGTACAGCGGTTTGATCCCCGCTTATGGGATATAGGGCAGGTTCCTCTCCGTGAATGGTATCCAATTCTCGGGATAAAACAAACAGCCAATAGTGCTCACTGTATGGCGAATAATAGTAAAATAATAAAAGAAATGTACTTACAAAGTAGGAGCAGACGCACTGCTCTTTGATGACAGCTTGGGTGGATTGATCCCCACCTACGGATTTCTTTGGGTACAGGAAACTTCCAGGAATTTTTAAGTTTTTTTTTAAAACCAGTTAAAAAGGAAGGTGTTTAAAATAACAATAAAAGGGCCAAGGTAAATGAGAAGAGTATGTGTCTTATAAAAAAGATAATTGGCAAAAACAAATGACCAATAATACTTTAATATATATAAAAACACAATATTCAAATATCCATAACGCGTTTCGTCACAAAAGGACTTTTTCAAATGGAATAACATAGTTTACCTGGCACATAGATGTTATATAGGAGCATAATTAGTTGAAATTTGGCGCCAAAACTTAGTTCAGCCAATCAACAATAAGAACATGTATACAACTTTAAATTTCGAAAATAACATAATAAGCTTAAACTTTATAACAATGCAGTTTGATTATAGCACATTAAAATCAAAAACGAGGGTGGGAAAGGATAATTTTAAAAGTTTTAAAAGAGTCACGTGACCGGCGGCACTTCCGCGTTTCGGAGGTGCCGCCGCAATGATTTATGGGAAATGTAGTTGGTGTATATGCCGCAAATGGCGGCCGGTCGAAACTTAGTTCTTTTTTCTTATGTGGCCACTATATTGCAGCACATTTCAATATAGGTTTTTTAAATCAAAACGAAGGGGCTGGCTCTCTAATTTTGATATTAAAAGAGTGGTCACATGGTTTTCGGCTAGCATAGCCGAAAAGCTTATTGGGAAATGTAGTTGATTGGGTGATGGAATAAAACACTAAAAGAAAACATGGTAAATACACAAAATATAAAAGGAGCTAAATAAAAATAATATCTATCTTATATTAAGATGCACTTTAAAGGCACAGTTTGATAAAATATAATAATAAAAATTAAACTGGTAAAGAGAATAGTAATAAGACCATGGTTAAAGGTACAGACACCAGATAACTTAAAATTCATAAAAAGTTATATAAATCAAAATCTGCGTTGAGGCCATGGGGTATAAGAGTCTGAAGTTTATACACCCATTCCATCTCTGTTTTTCCAAGTAGTTTTTTTATATCACCTCCCCGCCAGGGAGTGGAACATTTTTTTATACCAATACATTTTAATAGACGGGGATCTTTGTTGTGCATAATAAAATGTTTGGATACTGTATGGTTTAGGTATCCATTTCTAATATTTCTGCAATGTTCGCTCAGTCTTATCTTTAGGCACCTTGTGGTCATCCCCACATATTGGAGGCCACATGGGCATTCGAGCAGATAAATAACATTTTTCGTATGGCAACTTATGAAGTCATAAATATCATACACTTTTTTGGTTTGATTTGACATAAATTTTGTAATTTTTGGTAAGGTGACATGATCCACAGTTTTACATACAATGCATTGTTTACATCTAAAAAAACCTTTCGTCTGAGGAAAAAATGATAAATTTTTTGGAGGAGATTTTTTAGTAAAATTTGTGGTTAAGATAGATTTAAAATTTGGTGCTCCTCTAAAAACAATGTTTGGATGAGTAGGTATAATGGAATTAAGTATCTCATCATGTTTAAGTATGTGCCAATGTTTTCTTATAATTTTTTTAACATCATTACTTTTATTGTTGAAATTAAAAATAACTGGAAGTGATATAGTTTCATTGTTTTCTTTATTTTTATATACCAAGAGTTCTTTTCGTTCTTTTTGTTTGACTGTGTTGATTGTGGTATTCAGATCTTGTTCTGAATATTTTTTTTCAATAAATTTATTTTTTAAAAACTCTGCTTGTTCATTAAAATCTGTGAGTTCTGAGCAGTTTCTACGGAGGCGTAGAAACTGACTTTTCGGAGCACTCTCTAGCCACGGCTTATAGTGACAACTAGATCTGTCTATAGCCGTGTTTACACATACTTTTTTAAAAAAGGTTTTTGTTTGGAGTAGTCCATTATTAATAAAAATACTTAGGTCTAAAAAATTGATTGTTTGTTTACTAAATTCGTGTGTAAGAATAATGCCGCTATTGTTGGTATTTAAATGATTAATAAAATCCATAAGAGATTTTTCAGGTCCATCCCAGATAAAAAAGAGGTCATCTATATATCTAAAATAGGAGACTAGGTTTGCCCGCCAGGTATGATTGCCCCATATGGCTTGGATTGCCCTGGACAATAGCTCTGGTAAATGTGAGTTTTATACCATTATAATTTTTTATCTCTAAGACTTGAATTCTACATACTACACCATTGGATGTCCCTTTTTCTTCTCTTTTTTATCTTTTATTAAGTGAAACCACCACAAAAATAGAAGACCTCACCAAACAAGGACATCAGTAAGAAAAAAACCATTTGGACTTATTTTATTTTATTTTACTCTAATTGGACTTTATTTATCTTTTGTGCGCAGCCTTTTATTGTTTTTATTGTATTCTGTTTTAAAGGGTTTGAGGGATTCCCTTTTAAGGTCGCTGCCTATAGTTACTTAGCGCTATCTCACTCTTCTTTTTTACCACTGATGTTTGCAAGTCTACATTAAATATATTCATTCACTTTTTAAAGAAAATACATTTAGACATAGATATTTGGATAAGCTTGAGAATTATTTTAACACCTTATTTTTGCTATATTATTAGGAAGAGCGATGGTATCATATCATGCACATCATGGACCTGTGAAATTTCTCGTCATGGCAACGGCTGTGAGCAGAAAACAACCTAAGCGGACTCCAAGCCGATGTAGTCAAATTTCAAACCAGGAACTAAAAAATGAGGACTTGCGCAACACCATTTTACAGCAAAATGAAGAAGCAAATGTATCGCCTACAAGTAACAATGACAGTGCTGTTTGGCTTGGAGGTTCAATGGTGTCCATAGCACAAAAAAGTGAATTATCATCTTCCTCTGGTTCTCTAACATTGTCCTATGGATCAACTTCATTTGATGCCGGGAAAGAAGATTGCACTCTATATGATCTTTTAAATGATCCAAGCATGCCACCTCAAAATGGCAAAAGACAAAGAGCCAGGAAGATGAAAGCCGACTCTGTCCTGGTAATTTCGGGTGGACAGGGTCACAGAAGAATCAACAAAAAGATCAAGTCACAGCGACAGGAAGAGCTGGTTTCTTCTGCTATGATTTGGCAGATACCATTGTTACATATTTAAAAATATTGTTTTTGGGGGTGTTATTGGTTACCGAAGCCTTATCCATGTTGACAAAAAAATGTTCTATGATGTAAATCTTGTACGTTATTACATGATATCAAACCTAATGTCTGCTTAAAACATTTGCCTTATTTTAGTACTATATTAAAAATATATGGATATCTTGCATTACCATCCAACACATTTTTTTTTCTTTTTGTTTCTTCAAAACCCTCGAGAACAATGTGCTGCCACTCAAATGTAGTTCTTTTATGATATGTTTGGTTACATTATGTTGTTTCCCACAATGTTCTGTCTCAACTATTTAACATTAACTAGATGTTTTTGCTTGGATTGTTGTAATATGCTTTGGTACGGTTTGCTCAGCTTTCCAGGTACAATGAAGCGAGGACCAAGTATGAATTCAATTGTAATCTAATGTTAAGAGACATTTTGGAATATAATAAGCCATGCGTGACTGTATAATATTGCTACATAACCAAACAGAACTTGACATACCCTGATTTTCAGTGGTTTGTTCATATGACGAGATTGCTGCCATCTCCTGACGCTCAAATCACTCAAATCAAGAACATTTTATTCTCCTACACTGTCATGTTCTTATGGACTCATTTGATTTATTTTACAGTATATGTAATAAATCATTAATTTAACTTGTTTCCTCTTCAGTCTTTGAGGACAATGAATGTCATGTTCCCAAAAGTGGTATGTATAATGGTTTCAAGTAAGTATTGCCTAATCAGAAATTTTGATATCACATTATTAAAAAGTATAGGTGAAAAAATACACATTTGTTGTTCAGTTTTAATTGTCAACAAAGCTAACACTTGTACTGATTTTTATCATGTTTGGAGGAAAGTATCCTCACATCTCAAAGTGTTGTTCCTTGATTAATTTTTTTCTGTTGATAATATAAAACTTTGGTTTACTAAAATCAGTTTTCTGCATATTTAGAGTGAAAAGATATTATTCTTTGCAAGCAGTTTTGCACATAACCTGTCCAGTTTCTGTTTTCCTGCCGCATAGTCACATAAATTAGTTTAAAGTAAATTTTTGCTGAAAAAGGTTTGTGGAGACACTTATTGGCAACATCACGTGTTGCATGAACTATAACATTATTTCAGAGTATTGGCACTCATGCTATAAAATTCTGATCTTTATAAAACTCGATGTGCTGTAAGTAAAGGAAAAGAGAGAGGAATGTCCTGAGCTCACTCTTGGATAGGTCTGAACCGGTACTCATGAACACAGCATGACTCATCTAGGCACACTATGCTACACTTTGTCAGCACAAGGGCCAAGATTGTGGATACGGCAGATGCGGAGGGAGTGATTGATATCTGCAGAACTCCCTTGCTCAACTGTAAGGGATCAGATTTTGGCTTATCTGCCTAAGATATATAACAGTTGCGGTACTTGTGAAAAGAAATGACATCTAATTTTAAGGGACATGCTGCTGAAGGTTACTGAATTGTAAATATCAGTGGAGGTTAGACCCACAGGCCTTAAATACTTTGACGAACATTTATTTCTGACTATAATACTAAGTACCATGAGAGACCAACTATTCATGGACATTCATGTACAAACAGGGGGAGGTCTGCCCAGGGTGACAGGCAGTAGAGGGTGCATAGTACACCCTCTTCTGCACTGTCAATATTTGTACTGTGGCCTTGTAGTCTGCAGCACAGGATATTCTTGTTTGATTGCCTGATCTGTTAGGGCTGCTTCAGGCATGGCAGTGTCAGTGAGCGTATGGGGCATAGATAACATGTCCTATCCCATCCTCACACTAGTCACCTAGAGAAGAGCAGTGGAACATAAAAATCTTCTTATGTGGTTTCATTTGGCCACGGTACAATCTGCACTGAATAACTATGGAGACACAAGTTGGCTATTGAGGTCCACACGTCTCTGCCTTGTAACAGGTGCATGTTGTCTGTTTGGCTAAAATAAAATACGCATTATCATTCTCTCCACTTTCATTCTGTGACCATCAATAAAACTGTAGGAGTAACCATCCTTCTACACAAATGCATTGTCTACAGATTATGCTCTAACTCCAGAAATGCTAAAACCATGTATCATTATGACATGCCTAGTGGCTGAAAGTCTCAAATACATTGCAGACAGACAGAGAAAGGCCTTGCCTGCATTGGCCACTGTGCTATGGACACTTTGTCATTTCTATACTTTGATTAGATGCCTGACACAAAGAACCAACTTCAAAGAGGGACTTCATGTTCCTCTCTCACAGACATAATTGTTACCTCTACTTCCTGGATAGAGATTCCTTACAATTTAGTGGAGTTTGCAAGACTTGTGATTATTTCACACACTGACACCCCTTACAATTTAAGGAATACTTTTTCATGGAAAGGGGTTTGGCAAAGCAATTCCTCAAATCTATCCAATAATACTTCACTACTATAATCACAAATTATTCTAAATGAAGCAAATCAACAGACATTTCCACAATCCCTCTTCAGGATTACTGTGACAAAATGTGAGCTGAAAAACGAACTCATCAGTGTCCTAATATTTCTCAATTCTTGTCCTTCTACAGCTGCTTCATAATATTGAATATATTACATGGCTTGTGACTGAGTTGACCCGTCCCCCCCTACTTTAAGATTTAAACTTAGAGAGACATTAAGATGTATTCCTTTACTGAACACCCAATTAGAATGCCTGAGATATTTACCAATTACATCATGTTCATGCTGACTGACCCTCTCCACCCAACTTACAAGTTATATTGCTCAAAATTCCTGAAAACCTTAACAGGTAGCTATCACCTCAAAGCTATGTTTTAATATAATAATAATTTCATCAAGTTTTGAATGAAAATAGAAAGACACTCATTTTGCATTATATATATATATATATATATATATATATATATTTTCATAATGCTCTTACAACACGTTATTTAAATTCACATTTGCTTGTTAAGCACTATTTAATTTGTCTCCCACATTAGAATTAATGTAGGACCCAGTAGTGGTGGTTTAACACAATATAGTGGAAAAGAATTCCATTATTTGTTTACTGAGAGAGGTGATTTTAAGTAGCCTTATAAAATTTGAAACTATATTTTTATGTGTGCACTGTTTTTTAATCTATATTATGTTCGAATTTTGGTCACTAGGGCAGCACCATTCCTGCATAATGCATGTTCCGGGTGTGCCCCCAATTCCCTTTTGTCTTTACTATTGATGTAAATTATGTAATCGTTGCCAATGTAAACTTCACTGACTTCTGCCAGATGCAAAGAAGCACTGTAATATCAAATTTGTGAGTAATAATCACTAAAAAAAACTTGTGTTTTGAGTCAATACACCCCAGAAATATTCACTTTGTAATGTTCTTTACCAAGTGAGGCTTTTTTTTTATCACTTTCCTGCAATTGTGACAAATACGTATTTCACTTTATGGTTGATAAATATATAGAAAAATTTAGCTTTGTGCCATTCTTACAGTATTCATCCCATGGATGACTGACAGTTTATCCATAAACCAATCCATCCATCCACACAATATCTTACACATCTATAGATGAGCTAGCACTCTCCATTTTTATTCCAACTCTCCATCCATTCTGTCTCTCCCCAGTTAATTACAGTTTACCGGATCAAAGATTTCCTTCCCTCAATCCTACATTCTCCCTTCAAACTAACCCCTTCTTCCCTTACATTAGTGTGGCAAACCTAGCCACTCCTGGACATTAATAACTGGACGAATACGTTCATTTTGCTATGTTCTTCTTTGTCTGCAGTAGGGAGCATTCGTATGCTGTATGCTAGCGGCACGAAAGCCGCGAGCATTCATATGGTAGTTACAAACAGTATTGAAATCCACTGTTTGTGAAACGAATAAAACTACCGATTGGCAGACCACACAAGGTGGTCATGTGTCTCCCATTAACGATAGTAACAATGTATCCGCAGTTAATTAATGGGCTTCTTTGCTCACGAAAGCCCAGCGGTGTTTGGTCATCGAGTGCTTGGAACTAAAATCTGCTACTCGACTTCACGAACACCGCTGGACTCCCAGGTCTTTTGTTTAATAATGTGCATTTGGTTAAATCAATCGTCATTCGTTAAATTAAGCTCCATGTCTAAGGTATAATATAATGTGTGTACATATGAACCTTCATTCGCATGGCTTTACTTTTCTAGTGAAGGGATCAGAGCGGTATTTCACCAGATGGTGCGCTCAGATCCCAGCTATTCAATGAAGGGTCATTTGGCTAATTCAGAATAACATTGTATCAGTTATGTATTTTTATACCAAATGGTATATTTTGCTGTACAGAGAGATAATTGGATTAACAGTACATTCTTGCACAATTATCTCTCCAGTACAGCATTGCATGATGGGAAATAGCCTTGCATGGTAAGTTTCCCACACAGTCCACCAGAGGAAAACCCCTGCAATGCCAGTATGGAAACCCCTTGCATGGGGACTTGTATAAATACTTAACCGTGGAATAAAAGCTCAGTTGACTCCCAAACTATGTGTCGTCTAGTTCTTGGGGAATAAGGAATTACTATTACACTACCTGTATCTTATATGCTGTATCCTGACTACCAGCGGAGATATCGTGGATTAACCTACTACTCCACTACAATTAGCTTTATCATCTTTATTCAATTTCCCCCCCTTTATTCTTGCATTCTCTCTCTTTATTTTTCATCTCCCTCCTTCACCACAGCACGCTCCTCGTTTACCTCAACACACTCATATAGAAAATTAAGCCCTGCACTCAAACGCCCACAACTCCGGGTCAGCGGCAATGACTATAATACACATCAGCCCCAATACATACAATAAAAATTAAAGGGAAAAAAAGTTTCTTGCACACTATCCCAAATCTCCAGCGGAACTACCAACGGTGCAACTGGAGAGTCTGCATTGGGGCTCACTCACTGGGGGAGCCCATCGGACTGCCCATACACTTAGGGCTACCTGATGTTTACTGATGAACAGCTGTGGGGAGATCCCACGTGGGAGGCAGAGGATGAGGTGGCACATGCAGCAGGAAGAGAGGAGCAAGAAGAGAGCTGCTCCAGACACCATACCCCCATCCACCTCAGCTAGCAGCAGGATCCCAATCAAGCCACCCTCCTGCATTCAAAAGGTATGTTAACAGCAAATATAAAACATATGACATGTATATGTGTGTCAGTGTGTGTATCTGAGTGTGATTGTATGTGTCAGTGTGTGTATCTATGTGTGTGTATATCTCAGTGTGTATATGAAAATGTGTGCAAGTGTGTTAATGTGCATGTATATCTGTGTAAGCATGTATGTGGCTGTGTATGTGCAATCAAACAACAGCACAGCATGCACACACACCCATGCAGTCAAACACAACATACAAACACAAACCCTGCATTACACTCCAAAATTTTATACAAACACACCCCTTCATTCAAACACAAAGACTACACACAAGTACACCACTGCATTCCAATGCCAACAATACATGCAAATACACCCCTACATGCACACACACACATACTCTATGCAAAAACATGCTTACATTCAAACACCCAAACATTGCTCACTGTTATAACCCTGCAAGGATGGATAAATGGTAGATCCCCTAACTGGCATAGCATTGTGGGAGTTGTACTACAGATAATAATCTACCTTTTGGTTAGTCTTGTGCTAGAGTGGGTCCCAAAATAATTTCTTACATCAGGGTCCTCTCTATATTCATTCTGCCACTGCAAATCCCTATGTACATTTATATAACTGTAGGTTTTTTAGTATCACTCCAATGGCCACTAAAGTGTAGACTCATCTGCCACATCAAAACAATCTTACATAAATCCTACACCGACAATTCACTTTGCTTTAAGCTAAAAGGTAAAATCTCTAATGAAACAGAAATGGGTATTTTTCTAAACCCCTACAGAGTTATTAATCCTTAATATTTAATGTACACAGTTATATATTATATTGGGTGATAGAATTTGGTTGCTAAACTTTCCAATTGTATTCAACACATGGCTAGTCTAGCTCCTCCCCCTCCCCCTCTCTCCCTCTTTGCTATCCTTCTCCCAGCTGTAAATACCTTCATATAACTGTTTAATCTCCTTCTCTGTTCTTCAGGCCTCACTTCACACTCAAACTCAGTGAAGATCTGCATTTTTTTTCTCACGACTTCTCACCCAATCAAGTTCCCCCCAGTATATAGCATGCTTCTCCAGTTGTTTGAGATTCTCACTCAACTACCTCCTCATTCCCTTTACAATTTAGCAATAGCTGCTTCTCTCTGTTAACTCTTTTAGCCATCACCTCCAAATTTCCCCTGCTACCTTTTGTCTCAAATCCCCACTGTTTCCTTTAGATTGTAAGCTCACGAGCCATCTAGCTAAGCACTTTGTATAAAAGATCTCTAATGGCTAGATATCAGCTTACGGCAAGGCTCTCTCTACCTCTTGTATTTGTCTGTGTATATTGTACGTTCTCCACTAATTGTACAGCGCTGCAGAATCTGTTGGTGCTTTATAAATACCCGTAATAAATAAATAAATAAGACACACATGGGATGGGCAGCAACATGGCTGTGTAATACAAAAGAAGATACAAGCATACAACTTTAAGCTCATTCATCATTAACTCTGACTTCCAGCTTTATGTATGCACTTGTATTCACTGCATCCCTTTATCTTCACTGTTTGTCACTTGTCAACTTTATCACATTTTCTGCTCCTACGTCCCCTCCTTACAGCGTTTCTCACTGCATCACTGCTTCTTTCTAACAGCTTCCCTCATTATTCACAGATCCCCTACTGTTTTCCACAGCTGAGCATTTTCTTTACATCTCTCCACTCCTCTCACAGTCTTTTTCTACAGTCCTCCATTTTAACTGCCCTGCCATAATATACAGCCCCTTTATTACAGTTTTCATTATAGAAAATCAGTCTGCTTTCCACAGCACACATTTTCTAGAGACCGGTAACCATTTTTGCATAATTTTCACACCTTTTCTTAAATTTTACAGTTTGCCACATTTTACACAGCTGCCTCTTCTACCCCTTCTATCGATTAACCAATTTACCCATTTTATAGCGACCTTCAACATTTTCTAAAATTATATAATAGGCATTATCTGGAAAAATTGAACTATCTGGAGCAATGGAAATTTTGTGAAAAGGGAC